GTACTATTAAATGCGAAAGTTTGAATGGAAGAATGATGCATCTTCGGAATGGCTGAACTTGCCCTTATCATGGCTAGATTCTGGAGGACTTAGGCTTCTATACCTGGCCTAATTTCAGTCGATAAGTTTGACAAGACTATTTAGTATTGATTTTTTTTGCATCTAGGTTTAAATTGATATTGCTTACCTCAGTTATTATTTACTTGGCTGTCTATGTTGTGTGTAGCTAGTATGTATAAGATATCCTCGCTGTTGCTCGCGACTTCGTCCGCGTGGAGTTAAAAAACAGTGCAAAACATAGGCAATGTTACTCGCAGATTAAAATTTAAAATCGGCCCCGTTGTTTTTACGTGAATCGAAAACAAAAATATAAATCTTTCCTCTTTATAATATTAGTATTGACTAGTTATGAAGGGTTCATATGCCAAGATAGTTCTGTTTGTATAAGTATATCCGTTGAGTGTTGCATTTCGAATTTGATAAGAAAGTTATTTTACTGTTAAAATTTTCGTTTACCGATTATTCTTCCTTCCAGAGGGTCATTTGCGCGTGCCCTCAGTGAATGCGTGATGATATCCCTCCATCGGCAAAGCTTCCGAGCACGTGTAATTAATCAAACCATTGCCTACATAATCTTCTACAACACATGTTATATCATGTCATAGTAGAACAACTGATACTTCTAATAACCGTGCAACTCCACTGCTGTCACACTTCACTACATACGAGTATTGTTGTCTTTGTTTCTTATAATAGAATTTGAGGTAACAATACCATATGTTGCAAATGACATTTGTTTTTCTATAATTTGGGCACTTTATGTAATAAAACATGAGAATAGCGCACGTGGTAATTTATTTCGACATTATCGTAAAGAGAGGCGCGTTACAGTTAATTAATTAGAGTAGGGTGAATGACACAATCAACAAACGTGGGTACTTCAGTAATGTTATAAATGCGAAAGTATGGATGTTTGTTAGAGTTTGTAGCCTAAACGGCTGTATGGATCTCGATGAAATTTATCATAGATGTGGAACAGACAACATTCGCGGGCGAAAGCTAGTCTACTAAATATTAGCATTTTAATCAATTCCAATTTGGATTTTGCTAAAATGTTTTGTATACTTAGGATCACTTCTTCGAATCTTTAAAATTCGTTTCCGTATTATTTATACTACGAAGTATTTCTTTTATTCCAGTACTAAGAAGTTTTGCAATAATAATAACAAATTAAATTTCTTTGTATATTGTTTTACAAATTTCCTTTGTTACTTGGTAGCTCATACTTTTTGTTTATTGTATACTTAAGGTACTAAGGAAGTAGGCTGCTTAGTTAATCCCACTCTTCCTCGAATTGGTATACAAACGGACCGCCCGTCTTTTAAGTATTCAGTTCTTGCAATTCAATGTAACGTACTTAGTAATTTTCATAACAGCAACAATATTGAACGTTAAGTATTACGAAATTTCTTTGTAAATTGAAATTTGTTTGTGTATTTTATGCTTGATTATATTTATTATTACCTGTTCCCCGCGACTTCAACCACGTGAAATTTGAAATTTTAAAATTTAAGTCCGCGCGTAACCTATCACCTACAGTATTACCTTAGTAGTAATCTACGTAATAACAGCAATCAATGCCAGATTCCAAATTTCTAAGCCCGGTAGCTTGTGTGCTGATTTTTCTGTCACCCTTATTGTTTGTGTTCGCGATATCTTTTAAACTATTAGTCCAATTTAAATACTGTAAAGGACAATTTTATTCTACATTAAATTCTCATGACAACAAAAGCGTTTATTTCGGTAAGGATTAATTTTGCAAGCAATAAAAGAACGCCGCAAATAGCGTGCGGTTTTTAATTCGTTAACAAAAAAGTGGGTATAGTAAGAAAACCGTTAAAGGTAGAAGATATATGCCATCGCAGACTTTTCTGTAGAACTTTTTGAGATCCACAATTCTTTCATACATCATTTTTATATACCTCTAACGGTTTAGGCAGCGGTAGCCGAGAAAAGTTAAAACATTGTGATTTTTTAACGCCATGGTCCAGAAATATGTTGTTTATTAATAGTTCCTCAACATTAGTAATAATAAAATATAGCCTATGTTACTCACAGATGAATTTCCATTTTAATTGTGAAAGAATTTTTAAAATCGACCCAGTAGTTTTTGAGTTATTTCAATACATACAAAAATACAAAACGTTCCTCTTTATAACATTAATATAGATATAGACACACAGATTATGTATTTATATGAGAAATTTGATAGAATTTGCTTTTCTGAATAATACTGAATGTATCCAAATTACATTTGAATATTCAATCTGGGTGGTACAGAACTCGACAATAGCTTCCAATTAATTCGTTACACTGAGATTCAAATGTTAACAAGACATAGATGTTATACTCGTGTGATATTTATGCTTGTATCGCAGCATAGAAACATGGTGTTAGTGTGTGTACTGTTACTAGGGTGGCATAGCCCGGGTGCAGGGCGCGTGGGGGCGCATGAAGGCGCGCGGGGCGCGAGGGCGGGAGACGGCCGGCCGGTGAACCTAGTCTGTCGAAATCAATACAGCTGCTCCCTGCGCTCGTCTCGAGCTCGTTGCTATGGCAATCCGCTCAGATTAACCACACCACCTCTACCCCCCTATCAAACACGACTACAACGAATTGAACTAAAGCATTTATGAAAAATCTTTTTATGATTTCACTTATGAAGGATTTACTTTATTATAGTATAATTCGAACACGAATTACTTGCACATACTTTAATATAAAGTCATTATTGTAAATTATAATAACAAATATTTGATGATTCGTTTCTAATTGGAATAATAATTTGTAGTGCAATAAACATACTCTAATGTAGGTACGTTCAGTAAGTTCATTGGATGAATATTTAAAATTGTTTCTCATGTGAATAGTGCGCCTGCAATAAATCAATATTCTTATAACCGGTACTTTATTTCAGCAAGCAATGGAAGTGTTTAAAAATGCATTCAAAGTATATAGCAATGCGTCTGTCGGGGTTATGTACTGTGATGCAACAATGACAGGGGACGTCGCCCCCGGCAGCCGCTACACCCAGACACCCCCAGCCACCCTTCACACCTCGCCAACCCCTTCCACCCACAAACCCCCTAGTCCAGTGGTCCGGACATAGCCCTCGGCCACACTTGTTAGTTTTCGAACGCATATCGCATTAATCATATCAAAACTGTTGCGACTTATAATTGTTTATTCAAAAGAACTTAATTAGCTTCGAAAATGCCAGAGTATAATTACAATTTATTAATAAATTTAACGAGAAAAGAGTAATATAAAAAACATGAAGTCGACTTATACTCAATTCAAAAGAAAACTTGAATAAGATTCGCAAGAAACGGGAGTATTAAAACGATTGGGCCATTTTTAGCGACTTTCCTTTTACGAAACCTTAAGAACATGTAAGGAAAACTTTTCCCGGGCGCTTTTTCTTTATAGAAATGGTAACCATTTCTATAACTGTAACGGTTGAGGAATGTAAATTTTTTATAACATATTTCATTAGCTGTTTTTACATGGTATTGTGTCTTATACGTAATAGATTTAAATTGGCTTGAGACGTCATCGGCCTATTTCAAAAATGTACACTTTTTGCTCACTTTTGTTTTAAATCTTCGAAATTTCAAAACTTTAGTATAATCTTAACAATTTTAGTCAAAATTACAATATCGAGTAGGTACATTGCAAATGCGACGCTTTTGTCTTCCAACAAATTAATTATCTCCTGCGCAATAAACAGTCCTCATTATAAATTAACAACTAAAGTAAACAAGCTTTCTTGAAACTATATTAAGAGCGGTATGCAATTATCGAAAAGCTATTAATCATTCCCTATATTAACACGTTTACTGCTGCATGTAAAATCATAAAACTTCATCTGGTGCGGCGGCGGGCCAAAATGTGCCCCCAAAAATATTTCCGCCTAAGATAGTTTAAGTTGCTATAACAACACCATTCTACATATGATTGCCAGCAGACTGGATTGTAGATATATTAATCACTGCATAAAGCTGTACGTGGCAGGCGATAATTGTAAATTTTAGAATAACATTTAGATGTATGTGTGAGTAATATAAGTATTAAATTTTTTTGGTTACTCACAAACTATGAGCAAAAAAGAAGTGTAGCTCGAAGTACCGCGTCAGGTTGATATCGGCCTGTTTTGCAGTGAGTGTGTTTGTCTTTATAAACGTCGTAGTTGCAAATTACGCAGCTTAAGTGGGACAGAGTTGATAAAATAGAAGTAAAGAGTAAATCATACAGAAGTTACGATGCTTTGTGAATTCCTTTATTAAACACAATATGAAACCTACAGTATAGACTATATTTGGTCAGAGAGCAAAATAAGATACTTGTATCTTTTATGCGTTCTTTGAAAAAATATTGTTCTGTTTAAATGTCAAGTAATCTATATTATGTTGATAAGAAAACGTTTACTCGTTAAGAATTTAAATTTGTCGCGTATTTAAAATTGATAACTTTTCAATAATTTAAATCAGAGGTTCCCAAACATTTTACTCGTGGTGTTCTTTCAAAATTTTTGGGTTTTCGATTGCAAAGTAACCTTTTATAAAAATCCTTACTTTAATAAATTATTCACGAGTTGTGTTCCAAACAAGTGAACATTTTGGTGGACACCCAATTTTGTTTTCAACGAACGTTGATCCTCAGGTCCACTTGGACCATTTGAGAATCACTGATTTAAATGCTTGCTAGACATTACCAACAATGTTAATCATAATTAAGTATTTAAACGGTCTCCAAAAATACGCTGAGCGTCATGTTATCAAGCATTTTGAGTACTTGCTTATTGTGTTTACACTACCGTAATACCTGCACCGTAATGAAGCTGATGGCAACATATTTTTGAAGTGTTTCTGCAATGTAAACTTACTATTATATCTTTCTGTTGTGAGACATTTTTGTTAACTTGTATTATTCTTTTACAGAACGTGGACCATAAGGCCAAATTCCGTTCCAAGAAGGGTCTGCTGCCGTTCGTGGAATTGAACGGGGAAGAGATTGCTGACAGCGCAATCATCATCAAAGAGCTCTCAAAGAAATTTGATAAGCATCTTGATGCTGGTAAGTCACGCTAAAAATTTCTTTGATATTTATTTCATTTTAACAATTCATTGATATCAGTTATGTTATGGTACATTATTTTAGGACGAGCTGTTGCCGACAAACTTTGCTAGCGCGTATTTAAAAAAAATAAGTTATCTATCACATACCTGCATGCGTCTACCTTCTACCAGCTATCTTTCAAAGTCCCGTCCAAATAGGTCCACTCGTTCCAGAGATGGCGCTCCGGTCGCCATTTTGATGTATTAGTAGAATATATATGTTCTGTTGTGAAAACATTCTGATCACATTTTTTATCTAAAGTTTAAAGGGTGAGGACGCTTATGATACATTTGTGATTACTAAATCTATATTAGTACATGTAATAAAATTGGAGTATCATAAGAAAAATATCAGATTTCAGGAAGATGATGTATTTGCGTTGCTGATAACGAAAATCACATTTAAAAATTTTTGTCTGTCTGTCCGCCAGCCGCATTTGTTCCGGGTAATCATCGAAACGGCTGGACCTATTTCGACCGGACTTTCACTGTAAGATAGCTGACATAGACGAGCATATTATGGGCTACTTTTTTTAATTCCGCGCTGTCAAAATGGCGTAAAGGGTAGACCAAATTTGCGCTAACGAAGTTTGCGGATGACAGCTCGATAACAATATATCGTCATATCTAGCTTCACAATAACACCATTGTTTACGGTTGTCCGGAACACGCGAATCGTAATCTTATTTGTAACTTTGTACATTGAAACACATACAAATCATATAAAAAGATTATAACGATTATATGTATGAAAAATTCAGGTCAGGTCAATTAATATTAAACGCTAAAAAGTTACCGTCAAAAACTACAACCCGACCCATTTATAAATCAGTGCATTAAGGATCCTTTCCACCAACCGACTCGCGCAACTCGTGACTCGACTGTTTGTATGCGTCTCCATAGTGGAAACAGTAGTAACATTGCTGCTATACGCCAGTCGCATACGATAGAGTCGGACGTCTAATCGCACAGGTGGAAAACGGGCCTTAATCTGTTACCCTGGGGCGGAGGGAGGCTGTCTCTTAAAAAAGCTCGGGCGACCTAAATCAGGCAACCTGGATATGCAGCGCATGTGCAGAGAGCATAACACGAGAAAATTGCTTTTGCTACATTTTTTATATTCCCCCGTCGAGTTCACTCGATGTTAAGTGAACACAAGTAAACTTTGGCCGTCACTAAATAAGGTGTGGTTCTAAAGATTTATCAACTACTACCAGTTGTAATTATAGTCAACATATTTTTATCCCTTTCATTTTCGACGAAACAGAGATAGGAATATGTATCAATGCACTTATTAAGGCAGTCGAATTCTAAAAATTGTAAACCTCAAGTAAAATATAAGTTGTGCATGTTTTCGGAGTTTCATTAATAAATAGTAAATGTCAAAGATACGAGTATGTGCTTAATACGTGGTTTCTACCCCAGGTTTGAATGCCGAACAGCGTGGTATATCTCACGCTATGGTGTCGATGATTGAGAATCACTTTGCATGGGTGGTTCTGTGGTGGCGTGCCAAGTACCCTGAAAGCATGATTAGAGGATACCAAGTAAATCTTCGTAACGCTCTCAACACTCGCCTGCCGAATCCGATCTTGAACATTTGCTTCAAGTTTACCGCCGCACGCAAGGTAAGTTTCGTTACCATTTCTCCATCTGCCTCTCATTATTTAAATGATATCAAAGCGAAAGTGATCTTGGTGTATGTTGGCTGGAAATGAACTTGAAGGTTCAAAAGTGGAATATAGCTGGGGTAAGCTCATTAAGGTTTTTAAAGTGGTATAGGAAAAAAAGAGTATGATAACATCTCTTTTGAAATTAGTAAATTCAAAACTTCTTCCATGTCGAACCCAGGACCCAATATTCTCGACCACTAACTTAAAGATAACTTAAGGCAATCATTCTTATCTTAATTCAGTCCACACTTCATATCATACAAAACCCTATAGATAAAAATTTGAATTTAATATTTTAAGCTGATTTTACAAAATTTAAACTATTTTGTGGTAAATTGACAAAAGTGGTTTCAATAATAAACGCACTTCTTGCCAGAACTGAATTGATTTTTTTCACCATGCATACGACTTGTATGGTGTGTAGTCAAAATTTTATAGTATTAACTTTTTAAACTGTAGAAACAATGTTTACAATATTTAGTAACTTGTTAATGTGGGCGTTATATTCCGCCTGGACCGTGTTCCGTTCTTCTATGCTTTATCGATAGTTTATTTTTAGTTTGTCGGGTGTTCGACCGCACTGCACTAAACGAAACTTAAATTCTACAACGATGGTATTGTTTACAATGAAATAGGATAATCTTAGTAAAAGTAATACAACTGTAAGAAACGTAAATATAAAAAAGACGCGTAAAGAAAAATAGGAGAGTAAAGTTCTATACTTACACACTAATACTATAACTTAATCGTTACTTACAAAGTCCCTTAGTGTTTACAGGCTTAGAAGTTCTCCTTATCACATGCATTCTTAACTTCTCCTAACATGCACGTACCTTGCTTAGCTATCTATCAAGGAAATGATAATATCTAGAAGTGCGAGCGACACGAGTGCATAAATTTGACTTTGGTCCTTGAGCTCGGGTTAACTGATTTTAAATTGTTGTACGCTCCACGAGGATGTGATAACAAATCGTATCTTTGTTATTCATATTAGCTAATACACATTTAGTAAATAGACATTCTTTTTCGTCTACTTATCGTTACTTTGAATCTTAGTTTTCTTTGTGCTGATTTGTTAGGATTTATTTTTTTTTTACTGTAAGATTATCATGACTAAAATCATAATTTATTCCTTCCAGAAATAAAGTAGTGCTAGAATAATACGTAATAAAAACTTAAAAAGTATCTTTCGGCAATTACGGAACAAATTCATAGATTAAATGTAATCGTTGAAAAATGAATTTAGTTCACAAAGTGCTGAATAAAGTGATTTTATATTCATTCGCACATCATATCAGCTAAATCATTTCAACGCTTTCTCACTATTATTAATAACCATATTCCTTTAATACATTTTATTTTATATGTGAATATTTCTTTTAATTGCAGCGAGAAATAACAAACGTTATATATGCAGACCCCGCGCTGGGAAATAGACTATTAATGATCAAAAATAAGGGACGCATTGAAAGAATTTTAGCTTTTGTTTTCATTAGTATAAAATGCATGGTATTGTTGCGATATCGTAAAACGTCGGTGGCCTAGAGGTTAAACATCGAACACCTTATCTGCAATTCCGGGTTCGATCCCCGCTATGTGCAATGTTTTTCGATTTCCGAAACCCGACGCTCTACTGAGGGATTCGACTGCAGACTAGTATGTATACATATTGCAGACTCAGTCAAAATAAAGGTATGACAATATGTTATGATATAAGCAGTGCAGGATATATGAGATGCCGGTGACAGGAAACATCATAATGTATTCTACACATATCTGAGAAGAAATTCAAAGATGTAATCAACCAATTGACACTGGTGCAGCGTGGATCACTAAAACCTAGCCATCTCTAATAGGGTATACTCCGAGGTTCCCCGTGGCGACAAGAGGGCACACGTGACAAGTACAGTTTCAAATATGAATGTGGAAGGGATATATGGATAGGATTTAGAATTAAGAAGAGATGTATGGATGGCATGAAATGTAAAATGTATGGGGTTTTACTGAAAGAAAGAATGAATTACTAAAGGAAATAGGAGTTATTAATCTATATGGGATTATCCATTTCGCAGGATAATATTTTATATAATTTGTATTTAAATACAGGGATAAATCAATGGAGAATTAGTTTTTTTTTTGTTTATTTTTATTTGCTACTAAATGTTTTTTCTGAAGTCATTATGATGTTTTGAATTATTTATTTTGCATCTTTAGGGTATGAAGAAGGCCAAGGCGCATGGCATCGGCCTCCACGCCGAGGACGAGATCATCGAGTTCGGAAAGTGCGACTTGCGCGTGCTCTCTGAATATCTCGGTGACCGACCCTACTTCTTTGGTGACGAACCTACCCTGGTAAGTTTATAACTCCTCCTCTTTGCATTTCCTTCTTTGTACTCAAAATAACCATTCGAAAAGAAGTATATTTGAATACATTACAACTAAAAAAAATATCTTCAACAGTTGGACGTGGTAGCGTTCGCCAATCTTGCTCAGCTGCACTTCTTCAATGCTGAGGAGTATCACCCCCTACGTGATGCTATGAACGAGTTGTACCCCAACTTGGTGGGGCTTGTGACCCGCATTAAAGAACGCGCTTACCCAGACTGGGAGGACATCTGCCGAATGCTTGATATGAACGCCCAAGCGCCCAAGCCTAAGGACCAGGGGAAGGAGACTAAAGAAGGCACCGGCGCCGCTGAAAAGCAGCCATTGGCTGATGATACTGAGAAGGGCAAGGTAAGATTAAATCTGATTTAGTAACATTTAATTAGTTGTCGGCAGCGAATACGCGGATTGCTTTCAAAACTTTCCCAATCTATACTAATATTATAAAGAGAAAAGATTTGTATTTTTGTATGTATTGAAATAACTCAAAAACTACTCGGCCGATTTCGAAAATTTTTTCACTGTTAGAAAGGTAACTTATCTGCACCACTGCATTTTAGTACGCTAAAAGTCTTTTTTCTAAACCTTGCCTCTCTTCTCTAGGTGGACGAAAAGGAGAAAGAACAGGAGATGGAGCCCGAAGACAAGGAAGAGAAGTAAATGCGTTAGATCGCAAGCAAACGTAGGTACGGTGGGCAAAACGCATGAACGTCCAACTATACGCAACGCGTATAAGTAACGTCGTTTCGCCCACTGTACAAAATTTTCATTATATTTAATAATATTTACATTTAAGAGTCAGACTCGTGGTAGTTTCTGTATAATAAAACCATGTAAATCCATTTGTCTTTCCCGTTTCTTTCAGTTGTCGAAGGTTGCGTACCTCGAAGCAGTGTCTTGCGTTCTCATTATAATTTACGTTGCGATAGATAGTTCAACTCAAATTGGCGCGTGACAGCGTATAGCACATGACTAAATAAACGGTACAGAGACAAAGCTTCTAAAGAACATCATTTTTTTTACATATCCTCGTAGGGCTGTCACAATAGATTAAGAAAAATAGAATGAAACATTTGTCAAATAGTCTTATTACCCATACAACAAGATAGATAACCTAACAAATTACTTACTCTAATTTTGTACTTTTCGTAAATAAAAAGAAAATTATTAGATTCAGTTATTTGTTACGTATTTTATTATAATGAGTAATAATACTAATTAACGTTTTTTCTTTTATTTTTCATAAGTTATTGTGACAACCCTACCAAAAATGTAAAAATCTTGTTTTTTTTAAAACGTTCGGTTTATCAACTCATGTTCGTACATTAAAGCCATAGTAAACATTACCATTTCCCATCTTTTTAAAAACAGTATCAATATGCTTTTATAAATGTACGGGTGTTTCCCGTTGAACCGACTGATCGATCTATCGGTCCAACGGGAAATATCTTTACGTTGCACAAATAAAAGCCCAATATCAACGAGCTCCTAGCAGGCAATTGAAGTTGAACTGTCTATCTTTAGTTTGATGTTTGTATGTTCGTGAGTGTTGTCATTTATCGATTCCTGATTTTCGTTATACGGTTTTGCTTATATTTGATTTCTTATTCAATTATACTAGGTTACAAGGCTTATAGAATTGTAGGCTTACATATTAAATTAGTTCTATAGAATTAAGTAATGAAATAATTATATTATTAAGGCACTTAGAAGATAAGACGATTTTTAATTCAAAATTTACGAGATAATTAGAATTATGCACGTGATTAGGTCATTTGAGGGTTATGCCAAATTTATACGTTATTTATCTGTCAGCACGGTAGGGAGCATCGCATGACTTATTCGTAATATACATATAGTATCCATTTTAATATAAGATTAAGGGAAAGCCAACGATTGTTTTTAATGAATTCATATTCTTTATGTTGTGAAGTAGCTATTTAAAAATTCTAGTATTTCGGCCGTATAAACGGTTTTGTATTGTAAATTCTTATTAATTAGAATCTAAAACGAAACAACGTTGTATATTTCGACTGGTTTAATATCTTGGTTTTACATTATTGAATAAAAAAAATTTACAATTTACAAATTTTTGATAAAAAAAAAATTAAATTCCTGGAAGACTGTTTTTACGTATTAATGTATTAATTACATAGTCCGTAATGTTTTGATATTGTATTAATTAAGATTTTAATTATATAAATTTGTTATAAATGTGGTCTTGCGAGGATGCAGACGTATTAGATCATGATCAAACGACATTCAAATCAAACGACAAATTTATCGAATAGGCAAAGAGGTTTTAGAACTCAACGGTTCTTGTAGTTTTAGAACAACACCGTGGACATCGAGTTCCAAGTAGACTACTAGGCAATGATAACCATCCGCCATCTTGTAAGCTGCCGCCATCTTCTTAGCAGCCGCCATCTTGTAAGCTTCCGCCATTTTGAATCAGCTTTGTATCAAGCAATGTCGCATTCCCACTTTACCTGCTTTTAAATTATTCAACGATTTCTTTTGAAATATGAATTCTTCATCGACATTCCGTATTAAAAACATCCCATCTAGCGATAAATCAGTAATCTTAGGTTTAGGTAAGAATCGCGTTATTTGAGATATCCAATTACAAACTCTCAGAATCAACCAAGAATAGAAGAAATAGACCAACTTTCAGGATCAAAATACAACTATATAGGAGTTTGTAGCTGGACATCTTAATTACCGAGGTAAACTAAGATATTGGCTGGAGATTTAAGATGTCATGTAGAACACCCACTACAATTTTACCTGAACAGTCTGTCTGTTTTAAATTATACGTGTATAGGCAAATCGAGTACTGTGTAGTGTAGCTGAGAGTAAATTGCCTATGCACGTAGATTTTAAGAGGACAGTATAACCGTTCAGTTAAAACTGAAGGTGTAGGGGATTTATTAAGGTAGTTATTAGTGAGTAGTAATTAAGGCTCTAGGTTTTAAGTATAAAAGGTTTCATTTGCATTGAGCGTTGAATAACCGTTATAATGTTGACGCGGAATACCTTTGTATTGCAAACCTTTAAAGCAAAACGCTCAATGGAATTCATACCTTGTTTTTAGATATAAATATATTTAATATAAAGAGTAGTTGATAGTTCATAGTTTTAGGAAGTAACTTCACTTCAGTTGTGTGTGAAGTTACGAGTTTTTCGGTTCATATTTGAAAAAAATGATTTCATGTTCTTTGGGTAATGGTCGACCAAAAGGTCCCTCCCGACAACTGCGAACATCACTGCCATAAGTAAGTTGAAACATAAGATTTAGAATAGATTTAAGCATCGCCGATATCTAATGCCGGCAACACATCGTCAGTGGTAACTTTGCCGTTAAAACTGATGGTGTGTAGCGGGTTTAATAGAACGGTTTTATGTATAAGTGTAATTGTGAGTTTCCATTGCTGAAACATCTGAACACGAACATATTGTTTTTCATCTGGTTCACTTTGAAAATATAGAGAAAACAATATATTTCTGTACAGATTCAGCTATGGAAATTCATGGTTGTTTGAGGTTATCTCAAATTAGTTATGATTATTTTTATCTTTCCGAGTTATTGTAGTAATTGCCTAAGTTCAGTAACAGATTTGCATTTTCGCTTCTTAGTGAGGTACTTGACTTCGTGTACTTGAGTGTGAATTAAAAAAAGATTTTTGTATGGGTTGCGAATGGACGAGTGTGTGAACTATTTTAGTAACGCGATTTCTGCATTTAAAACTTATTTGCTGGCTAAATTTACATCTAATTAGGATAAGATAGGTTTCCACTGTCGAAACACATTTACAGAAACTGATTACTATCTCTGTCATTCTCCTTATAAAACCTGAGAGATCAATATTTTGTAAAGGTGTATCGGCAGTGGTAACATAAACTAAGTTAATATAGCGATTGTAGATGTAAGAGTAATGAATGCTTGTGAAGCCAGCTACACACGATCAGTTCTAACCGACAATTTTAAATGTCGAACGTGTGTGGCGGTTTTAATACTGAACGCTCAACAACTCGCGACTCGAAGGTGACAACTGGGAAACGAAATATTAGATGAATGGATGACTTCTAATGTAACATCGTAGATTTAATCTATACATTTTCAGACCCGTATCAAATATCTTAATATTATTCATTCATAGTAATACAAATTAATCGTAGAATACTTATTCGACTATGTTTATAATAGCGGTATAGTTATAGTGTTAAGACAAAAAAAAAATGTAGTTTTAATTATATTACTGTTTGACATTTCTCATATTCATTCGAAATTCATTGGTTCTAGTTTTCTCATTATTATTAATGTATTAATATAAGTGGTAGGTTAATTATTCAATTATATAGATTAATTGTTCGGCATCGTGTCGTTTATAACTGAGCTTTCAGTGTTTATTGTTCTGGTAAGTTTTCAATGTATCTAATATTCTGTCAAATTTAACAATAAAGTGGTATACCGTATATATACTGCAAATGCTCGGATTTATTAGAAGACATTCTAATGTGTCAGAGTTGTGCGGGTGTGTTTTATTTAATCAAATTCTTAATTATCTTCTTCCTTATCCTACTAAAACAAATGAACAATAAAGGTCACAGAGTTTAAACACAGGTTTAACTAATCATTGTCAAATATATCTTACTAATATTATAAATGCGAAAGTTTAGATGGATGGATGTTTGTTAGCGTTTGTAACCTAAACGGCTGAACGGGTCTCATAAGTTACGGTTCCTGTGGGATTCATTAATTCAGTTTTTTAATGTTTAATTGATCATTCTGCAACGGTTCAACATATCTTATTTAAATTTGGTACAGATGTCAAAGTCTGGAGTATACATGGGATAGGGTTCATCCCCGAGAAATGTCCGGTTCCTGAGGGATACGTAGCTTTTTGTTATTTATATAGTTCGTATTTTTTCTAATACCATGCAGACGAAGTCGCGGGCAACAGCTCGTAATTAATAAAAATATTTTTATATAATATAAGCGAACAAGCAAGCGGCCACCTAATCCGCCCAATGGCGAAGCGACCCATAAACATTCGCAATACACGATGCGTTGCCTACCCTTAACCGACAGAGGAGAAAACGCACATAAAGAGCATATTTTCACTTCCTATCCGTGTCCTCCAGCGTCAAAACCATGTTCCCTTTCCATCCTTTTCTTATAAAGAAAAGGGACTAAAGTTGGACCACTGGCACCACACTCATCAGACTGTACGAGGAATTGCTCCCACTTGACCGCTGTCTTCTGTGTGGCTGTCGTATTTCACCGGCCGCGTTGACCCTACAGTGTGAAGATGTTAAAGCGGGCTCTACCACTGTTAAATATGTATTTGAGAATAATATAGGTAAGTATTGTAGGAAGGGACAGAGATTATGTTCTTTGCGAGATCCAAGGCTATTTTTCTGCCTGTTACTTGAATATTGTGATCTCAGGACACTGTACCTATTACCATTGACCTACCGATCCTGACATTTATCTGTCTAATTCTAAAGGAATGTTTATAAAATTTCTTTCACTGGTACTACATGATACAAAAACTGTGTATCTTCTTAAAGAAATTGCGCATACTGATAAACGTGAAATTTAACAAAGCTGAAGGTAATGAGGAGATGGGCATAAAGCTATACTTAATCCAAAATGTAATGATTACAAATGATTACAAAAAACTATAGGTATATACGTGTATATGTCAATGGATAATAGAGGGGGTGTAACCGATGCTCAACAAAAAGGGGAGGGTAGTAGTAAGATATTTTATTCCAAAAAATCGTTTGAGTTGTGCTATAGAATATTGTCTTCTAAAATCTGAGGTAAGCAAAATGGGAAGTTCCAAAAAGCCCAGATCGTCACAATTATCTTAAACTAACGTTCGCACGCGACTCCGTCTGCATGGAATTAAAACAAAAAGCAAAAGTAAGTAGCCTATGTGTTTTTCCAGACTGTCCTCTACATCTGTACCAAATTTCATCAAAATCGGTTCAGTCGTTTAGGCAAAAATCTCTAACAAACATCCATCTATTCATCCATACATCTAAACTTTCGCATTTATAATATTAGTAAGATAAGATTATCT